ACAGAAGACCAGGTAAGCTTTACCAAGGGGAGCAGCATTCCACCACAAGTTATGTGTCATGATGTGTAGGCATGTTCACCTAATGATGTGACTCTTTTGGCTGAGAAACTTCACAGAAGCCCAGACAACTTGTGTATATGAGGGTCATTACCCAGTTCCACTAACGAGCAAAGTGTGTGGATTCAACACTCAGTAATAACCTTTTGAAATTCCAATACTATGTCCTGACAAGAAGTCTTAGGTAGAAGGTTTCTACCTCCATATCCATCCATCCAAATGGATAGGAAGTGTCTATGTCAGTCCTGAATAATGGGTCAGTGGAATAAGTGGTGACCTATCACCCTTCCATCCAGACTATGCTGGAAGTACTGCTTCCTAACTTCCTACTAATTCATCTGCTAAAATGATGAAAGACAGAAATGGTTCTGGGAGTCTTCGTGGTCCCAAGTGAGGGAAGAGTCAAACTGAAGTCAAGTGAAGGTGTCAGAAAGAACAGCCAGGAACTGTGACAATGATTCAGCTTACGCTCTAAGACATTGTGCCAAGTACTGTGCTAAAGCACAGTGCTGAGAGAAGTCTTGGCTTCTCCTTGCTAACAAGAATATGCTGGTACAGATTCAGTAAATACTAGTTCGATTAATAATAAACTAAACCATCCCTCGGGTTTATCATTGTTTCTGATGATGTGAGCCAGCAGACTCTGCTGCTCAGTGATCTCTCAAACACTCTCAGTTCCCTCCAGCAATTAACGAGGGAAAAGAGAATCTCAATTAAATTACCTTTCAAAAGGAAGGTAAATAAGAATAGGATCCCTTGTCAAGAAGATCAGCCCCTGATACATCCACAGAAATCAGCGCCAGCCCCTGGCTGAAGCTGACTGCTTCAGCTTCTGATAATGCCAGCAAGCAAGGTCTAAGGAAGATCATGGAATCATAGAATCGTTTAGGTTGGAAAAGACCCCCCAGGGGATGGGGCCCCCCCCCCCCCCCTGCCCAGCCATTCCAGAGCCTGACAACCCTTTCTGTGAAGAAATTTTTCCTAATATCCAACCTAAAGCTGCCCTGTCATAACTTCAGACCATTTCCCCTCATCCTATGGTCCATTAGCAGGGAGAAGAGGCCGACCCCCACCTCACTACAGCCTCCTTTCAGGCAGTTGTAGAGGGTGATAAGGTCTCCTCTCAGCCTCCTCTTCTTCAGGCTAAGATGTAACAAACTTCTACTGTTTAGACTCTTTCACGCATATGTAGGGCTTGCAGGCAGGGATATGTCTTTAACATAAACGGCAATGGCAGTTGGTAAGCAAATGTCTCAATGTGGTACAAGTATCATTCATAGCACAGGGCCAATACTTAATCTTTGGAGAGCCCAAAGAGCCATCACCCAAAGTGAAGAACAACAGTTTTCACAGTCTAAAAGCCAACAGTGCCTGGAAAGAAGGAGGAAAGAGGGCTGTTCCACCTTGCCAGGAGGCTGTGAAGAACAGAGGAGGCTCTGTTTGTACTCTGCCCTCTGTCAATGTTCAGTGCCATCCACTCCTGTAGGTTTACGCTAAGCATGCCTTACCACACGTGCTCAGGACTGTGTCCCCCCCAAAACCACACCTGCAGGAGTTTGCTCATTTTTATAGCGAGGGTCAGGAGGCCACCCAACTCTAATCATTGGAGATTCTGCCCTGGAATCAGCTTCTTCCTCAGCCTGCTCACACTCTCCCAGAAGGCAGCCATAATTGCTAGTTTATAGGCTTGTTTTGGGGGGGTGGGGGGAATCCAACCTCTTTTTCAAAGCTATCCTACTGTGCCAAATCCCATGGTGTCTGCCTCAAAAGCACTCTCCATGAGAACAGAATGAACATTTTATGAGAGCAGGAGGGCATGTCAAAGCAGATGCAGAATACACTTCCCTGGCTTCAAAAAAGGATAAAGTGCAGACACACTGTTGGTGTATTGAACCCATTCCCCTCTTCACAGACTTATTTAGAACATCTAACACTTACTAC